GAACAAAACAAAACCCTAATCTATCATCAAGCCTACATCTTCGATGGCTCCGCTGGAGGTTGCGCCCCAAGGGTTCCAGCTCGAACTTCGGGTCCTTCAACGGCCTCTTCCCCTCCCGGGGCTCCGCCTTTGTTCTCATCATTTCCTAAGCCAATACCCGACGCACCTTCAGAAGCAAACAGGGCAGCACCCTCCTTTTCCAGGGTCTTCACCATCTCGAGCTCGGTAGACAAATTGATACCTCCCACTTGTATATCTTTGAGAGCCCGCCTCCGAGATTATAACCAAGCATTCTCCACAGCTCGAGTTAATTTCAACTCGGCCTCCTTAGGCGCTCTCCCGGCTTGAGCATTTATCGCAACGACATCCTCTTTATGCGAAAATATAAGCGCCTACGCTTCAGTTTTGATCTCGGATAGTGCAGCTACTAACTTAGAATGGAGACCTGTATACTTTTCACTGTCCGCCCTCACGTCGTGAAGCTGATGCCCGACTAAGGCTATCTTTTCCTGGAGGGTATCCCTCTCAGAAGATATCTCTCTCATGCGCCATTTGCGTTCGAGAACTTCGGAGTCTTTGGCTCGGAGCTCCTCCCTCAATAGGGTGCTTTCCTCCCCAAACAGCATAAACCAGATTAAAAAATGTCAAAATGCTGGGATCTAGCAAACAGTCGGGCCGTAGCGAACGAAAACTAGGTAACCTGCTCAACAAGGCAAGTCTTCTCATGATCATGACGGGCCGCCTCAGCCTGAAGCCGGGCGAAATTCTGATTATAAAGCGCCCTGGCCTGAAGCATGAAAAACACAAGTTAGAATGATAAAGATCAGGGTGATAGGAAGATTTACGAGAACCACCTGCTCGCAGAGCCTGTTCATCTCACTTAAGACGAGCGAAGCCTCGAACTCGGGAATCCCCCCGAAAGCGGCTAAAGGCCTCTCAAGCGCATCTCCACTTCCGACAGGCACCCCCGCATCGGAAGGTTCTTTATTCCGGACATCTTGTTTTCCCCTAGGAGGTGAGATTTTTCCCTAAGTAGAGTCACTCACCACGATAACACCAACAGGGCCACTCTGAGTCGTCTCTCGTCCCTGCAGAGCTCCAGAACCATTTTCCTCTGAACCGCCTACTGAATACATCTCGGATCGAGGCATATTTTGGCCATCGACCGACTCAAGAGCGTCACTCGACACCCCCTCTATAGCCTCTCCAGCTTGAAGTTGGACCGCGACGACATCAAGATCCGGCTCGGGAGCCACCATCTCTGCAGCATGGGGGTCGATCAGGTTTTCCCCTCTCTCGGACGTCATCGAGAAACCATTTTCCCCTTGCTTTCGACTCGGGGACTTCCTGTTGTCTCTGGAATTAGGGCTCACGGGTCGGCCTTAGTTTCTCCCGCCTTGATTTTCTTGGATACCGAAAGTTCATTCGACGGATCCCTTTGTCTTTTCTTCCCTTTATCGGGTACCGAAGCACCCTCCTCACCATGCAATGCTCCCTTCATCAGGGGGACCTCCCCCAGACCTACACAAATGCAAGAAGTAAGCATAGGGAGTGAGAGCGCTATCGGTAGCGATTTAGATTGAAAGATACGACTGCAACAGGGGTGAAGGTTCACCATGGTCCTTCGCTTCCCATCGATCTTGAGACAGACCACGCCACACTCGCTCAGCGTATGGGCAGATCCGACCCAGCCTGAGAGGTCCGCAACCACGCCAGGGTAAATTGTTGCGGCTGCATTAGCAGGGGAAATTAAGTGCATGGAGGAACGTACTTAAAAGGAAGAAAGGGAACGCTAGATAACATATCTACTTACGTTCCATGTTCCACCTCTCGGGGAACGGCATCCTTTCCACCGGGATCAGGTCCAAAGTCCTTACTCGGACAAAGCAGCTCATCCACCCTCCGTTCCCGACCTTTTCGATGCAGGCAAAAAGGGCCCTCGGAGCTCAGCAGTGAAGCTTAATCAGGCCCCCGCGGAAGAGACGGGGGTTGTACATCCTGATCACGTGATCAAGAGAAAAGGGCATCTCTTCAACCATAATCACATAGTACCGGAACATGTAGACAATGCGCCAGAACGAATGGTGAATTTGGCCAAGGGTCATTTGGTACCGTTGGCAGAAGTCGAGAATCACGGGGTCTATCGGAGGCAAGGACGGCCCCACCGGCCCAAGGGTAAATGGGTAAGTATACACACTGAGAAAATCGGCGTTATATGTCGTTATATCCTCCTCTAGAGAAGGGATCTCCACAAGCACCGCATCCCCCCAGCGGCAGTCAGTCCTCACCCTTTCGACGTCTGTTATTGAGCTGATATACTGAGACACAGGCTCTCGACGTCCCGGCTTCGAAGAAGGCCTCTCGACCTTGAAATCGGAAGCCGTCGAGAAAAATCTCGGAATGCATTCCTCGGCACAAGGAGGCACTGCCGCTTTGCCTTTGGGTAGAAGCGAAGAGGAGGAGGTCACGTTCTCCTGAGAAGCAGAGGCGGAAGATTTCGTCATTCCTGAAGGATTTCAAAAGGGAAAGGGAAGTTGCGAAGGTAAAGGTAGAAGGACCCCTTTTTGGGAGCTTGGTGGTGCAGTGAGTTGTAAAGAACGAAAAGGGAAGTATTTATAGAAGCCCCCCACGTACATTGAAGGGGGGCCAAGGGATAGCCAACTGCTGTGATCAATGCGAAGGCTTTCGGGAGCTGTGTGCGCGCCATCTTTTGGTACCTTGTAACTGACGTCATTACGGAAGTACCAGAGGGGTAGGAATTCAAGGTCGTTTCTTGTCACTTTCACTCTAAGAAACGCGGGGACTATCTGTATACGGTAAAATCGGAGGGTCAAATTTTCCATTGTTGTAATGGCTCGTAAGCATATTTCATAGGTTCGAGGCTATGGTCGAAGTTCACCCTCGAGGCCTACCGACGCTCGACCGCGGGGCGGCGCAGACCAACGGTTATAATGAAAAAGTGGGGAGTTCCCTAGGCGCACATCTAGAGCTGACAAAGTCTAGTGAGCTATGCTCAGATCCGAATCATGACCTCAACTAGCTGTCCCATCTCCATATCTTTTATAATTAATACATTTGTGCTATGTTGGGATTTCTCCTCCTATATAAAGGGGATCTCTGCCATTTTGTAGGCATTTATTGCTCCATACTACAATATACAAGAATATTCTCTCTGCTCTCTAACACATTATTTTGAGTTCATTACTTCATTTATTGCTTGCATTCATTGTGTTCTATTTATTCTTATTTATTAATTGCTTATTATTGGCCATAAAAAGCCATCGTTGATTTTGTTATAACTGTTAGTCGTCCGTCGACTACCCTCGATAGCTCCCAGCCAAGCACTTGACTCGACCCCGAGGCCACCGAATAGGCGAGCTCGAGGCCCCGATTGGCAGTTATTCGGTTTGATCAACATCTCATTTTTTCAGGCTCTTATCTCGCTTCTAAGTCTCTCACATAGCATCAACTGTTTAACAACTAGCATAAAAATAGATCACGTATTTTTAGAACCTTTCAAAATCAAATTTAATTGTTATTACCATTTTCACAGTAAATAAATTTAAATACGTCCTTTGAGTTTGGATCTTAACTAAAATAGCCCCTATTTTAACGAAATGAACAATAATCCCTATAGCTAGTACTCCCTCCGTTTCAATACTTGGCACAAAGTTTAAGAAAGAAAAAAAAGACTTTTGAAACATGTAGTCCTAAAAGCTTAAAGGGCATAAACTTTGCGAGACCATAACATTTTTGTGGTTATAAAAGCTTCTTATTAAAGTAAAGTGGGTAAAATGAAAAGTTTAAAGTTAAATTGTTTTCAAATATAGAAATGTGTCATTCTTTTTTGAACAAACTTATAATAAGAAAAATATGTCATTTAAATTGAAACAGAGGGAATTTAACAGTGGTGCATATTTGGTCCAAGATTTACAAGACCGTGTATTCTTTTCTTTATGATATATTTTTTAAACCGTAATGAAAATTTTACAAGACTACTAGATACATTATATATACATATAGTTGGAGATGAAAATCAGTGGATACGGACATAGCTGTTGCCTGAAAGCTACATCCATTCAGAATGAAATACTCAGGTTACATCCATTTTGGAACCCCATTATATATCAACTCAAGATTGCATTAATGCAACTTAATTACTATTTTAAAGGGGCCGGGTATATAAAGTTTTAACAATCCGAATTAATCATAAACCAAGAATGATTACTCAGCCTGATCAGTGTCTTTAAACTACTCTTTGGTAATAAGATCACTTTTGATAGGTTTATTTCACTGAAGAGCTTTTACACTTAATCCAGATTGCTACAAGCCACAAGACTGTTTCGCCAATATCAACGTTAGGTTTATTCTTTCCTCTTCATCAAATTCCTGGCACAAAAGTTTCCAATGTTAATATTGTAGGATTAATTTCAGTACATATAGTCCAAAGTTCAAGAATTGAGTTGCACATTACTTAAAAGAAACAAAATGAAAAAGAAAGAACAAAAAACCAAAAGACTATGTTTTTGTCAAATTAAAAAACTAAGCTGCTATTAGGCCAAACTCAGCGTGGTCCAACTATGACCACACCCGTGAAATACCAGTAAAGCCCTTATTTAGGAGTTTGGCTTAATGGCCATATTTTCCCTCCAAAATATTTTCCTCCAAAATTAGTTAATAAATTTTGATCTTCCCAAAACATTGATCCCATAAATCATCATTCTCTCACCATGGGAAGATAAAAAGCCTTCGTATATACGGATGGAAGTAATCGTATATATGCTCATTACGTTTTTTTTAAATACAATTACTTTTTTTTTAAATACAATTACGTATTTTTTTAAATGCAATTTATACGGATGGGAAGATCAAAAGTCTATTATGTAAACATAATTATTTTCCATTTATATTGTAACCCGAAAAACTTCCTAGATTCTAGTTTTGATCAAAAGAGATCTTTCACTAAACACATAATTCACCACCCTTCTCTTAGCCTAAACATGAATTCTAACCGAGAAACTAGTTTGGAGCCATTAAACCCGAATAACAGCCTAGAAACTAGGTCGGAGCAACTAAGGAATGCATTACACACATCATTGGGGTTGAATTCAGACGACATTTTGATGAATGAAGATGAGTCGATCGACATTGATTCAGACGGCAACTTCAATGATGGAGAAAATCATGTTGATGATGGTGCTGCTGATGAAGATGATGATGATGATGATGATGATGACGATGACGGCCATTATTTAGAGGAAGAGGAAGAAGTTGGAGAGGACAGGGAAATGCCTAATGATTTCAATGAAGAAGATCTCGTAATTGGTCCAATTACTGGGATGCGGTTCAGTAGTAAGGATGTTATGTTTGATTTTTACAAAGAACATGCAAGATTATCGGGGTTTTGCATTGTCAAAAGAACATCAAACAAAAAGGTGATGATATTGTTAGGTATGTGCAATATGGTTGTGATAGGTCTAGGAAAGGAATAAGCATGTTACCAAGAGGAGGAATTGTCATGCTAGAATAAATGGAATTTTGGAGGAGGATGGTTCATGGCGTGTTTCAAAGGTGGTTAAAAAACATAATCATCAATTGGAACCAGCACTATCGCGAATGATCGCGGGACACAGATCGCTTAGTAAGTCCCTTAAGAGAACTCTTGCAGCCAAAGATATTGCTGGCTTAAGACCCTCAAAAAATATAAGAGTCGCTGAAGTACTTGCTGGTGGCCCCGAAAATATTGGATGTACACCAAAGGACTGTAGAAATTATATTTTGAAGAGTAGAAAGCTTCAGTTGCAAGAAAGGGATGCACAATCATTACTCAAGTTCTTCAATGACATGCAGCAAAAAGATAGGGAATTTTACTACTCCGTAGATGTGGATAGTTTTGGTCGACTTTGTAATGTCGTATGGGTTCATTCACACTCTAAGGTTGCATATGAGGAATTCCATGATGTAATATGCCTTGATACCACGTACCTTGTGAATCGATACAATATGCCATTTGCTTCATTTGTTGGTGTCAATCAGCATAGGCAGTCCATACTTTTGGGATGTGCTCTTATGTCGAGTGAGGATATAACAAGTTACAAAATGGTGCTATCTACATGGCTTGGGGCTCTAAACAATGTTCATCCATTAGCTATCATGACTGACCAATGTGATAGTATTAAGGCTGCCATCAATGCATTGATGCCAAGCTAATTATATCGTTATGATTCGTTGTAAACTCGACCGTTTATATTAAGGTCATACGTATCGGCCGATAGCAACCATATAAGTCCATTCACTAATATGATTACCTAAGCTAATTATATCGTTGTGATTCGTAGTAAACTCGACCGCTTATATAATAGCCGTTTATATTAAGGTCATACGTATCGGCCGATAGCAACCATATAAGTACATTCACTAATATGATTACCTAAGGTAATTATATCATTATGATTCATAGTAAACTCGACCGTTTATATAATAGCCGTTTATATTAAGGTCATACGTATCGGCCGATAGCAACCATATAAGTCCATTCACTAATATGATTACCTAAGCTAATTATATCGTTGTGATTCGTAGTAAACTCAACCGTTTATATAATAGCCGTTTATATTAAGGTCATACGTATCGGCCGATAGCAACCATATAAGTCCATTCACTAATATGATTACCTAAGCTAATTATATCGTTGTGATTCGTAGTAAACTATGATGACCCAAAGGGTCATCACCTGTTTTCTTATTCATTCTGTACTTCCGAGGCCTTGAAAACCTCATTCTGTGTGAAAAATGCTAAATTTTGATATTAATATGAATATATTTTACTTCGGTCAAAATTTTGGGTAAACGGACCCGGACCCGTGATTTGACGATCCCGGAAGGTCCGTAGAAAAATATGGGACTCGGGCGTATGCCTGGAATCGAATTCCGAGGTTCCAAGCCCGAGAAATGAATTTCTGAGTAAAATTATTTTTTGGAATTACTAAGGAAATTGGAAATGAATTTTTGTTTAAAAGACTGTGGTATCGGGCCTGTATTATGGTTTCGGTGCCCCGTACAAGTCTAATATATGGTTTAAGCGCTTTCTGTGAAGTTTGGTTGAAATTGGACGTCGTTTGACGTGTTTTGGACTTAAAATGAAAAATTGATGTTTTATGAAAATTTGGAAGAAATCATGGGTTTTGAGGCTTGATCCGTTGTTTTTGATGTTATTTTGGCAATTTGATCGTACGAGTAAGTCCGTAGGATGTTTTTGAGGTTGTGTATATATTTGGTTTGGAGCCCCGAGGGCTCGGGTGAGTATTGGATAGGCTACGGAGTGCATTTTTGGTCTTGGAAAATTGCTGGTGTGATCTGACCTGCAGGCTTCACAGCCTGGCTCTCAAATGCGAGCTCGCAAATGCGAAAAACCCTTCGCAAATGCGAAGGTGCCCATATTGCACAGGGATCGCAAATGCGATCATAGCATCGCAAATGCGAAAGCTGGGACTTTCGCAAATGCGACACTTTTCTCCGCAAATGCGAAGTCCCCAAATATGCCATGGTTCGCAAATGCGAACTTTTATTCGTATTTCCCACATCTGCAACCTGCATATTTTATACTTAGTCGAATTTTAGACCATTTTTCACCCCACTTTCAAAACACAACTCCTTGGGCGATTTTTCAAGAACAAGCTTCATCCTAAATCATTTGTAAGTTGGTTTTTACTCATTTCTTTCAATCATTAACATCATTTAACATGTTTTCAACTTAAAATCAATGATTTTCATGGGTGAAATTGAGGGTTTTGGGTAGAACCTAGGTTTTCTATAAATTGGGGATTTGGACCTCAATTTGAGGTCCGATCTTGAAACAAATTGAATATTTGACTTCGTGGGGGAATGGGTAACCGGGTTTTGGTTCAAACCTCGGGTTTTGACCAAGTGGGCCCGGGGCAATTTTGGAATTTTTGGGAAAAACTTTGGGAAATTCATTTTTATACATTCAAATTGATTCATTTAGTGTTTATTAATGTAATTAAATAATTTGTGGCTAGATTCGAGCGGGTTGGAGGTGGAATTTCGAGGTAAAGCCATAGTTGAGGCTTGAGTTGAGTTCAAGGCATCGAGGTAAGTGTTTGGTTTAACCCTAGCTTGAGGGAATAGGAGTTGAGTCTTATTTGTAACTTGCTAATTGTCGAGTACGGTGTATAGGCATGGTGACGAGTATCTATACATTGGTGTCTAGCATGACCGTGAGTCCTTATTTGCGAATAGTTTGGTTGTTGTTATGCCTTCCATGCTTAAATGATGACTTGTATATGTTGTAAAGACCTTGTGAAAAGAAATTGTGATCTTGAAACTTCGTGGAGCATTGGCTCGGGTTGAAATACAGATTGTGAAGGTATATGAGATAAGTAATTCTTTGGAGCATTTGCTCAAGTGATAATGTGAACTATGAGATGAAAGTGAAAGAATGAAAAGAGTTAATGATTTATTTCCTTGACGGGACGTTGTTGGTTATTGATATTGTACCCTTGCCGGGTTTTTAATTGTTGTTTGTGTTCCCTTGCTGGGATTTTCGTTATTGTTTATTAATTCCCTTGCCCTTGTTTGTGATTGTTGATTGGGTGAGGAAGAGTGTTAAAGCACGAAGGGTGATGCCATGCACTGTTTATTCATGGTAAGGAAAGAGTGTAAAGCACGAAGGGTGATGCCGTGCATTGTTGCTTATTATGAGAAAGAGTGTTAAAGCACGAAGGGTGATGTCGCGCCGCACGATGTACCATTCCGTGCCGATTCTATTGATATATGTGAGGAATGAGAGTAAAAGCACGAAGGGTGATGCCGTGCACTGGTTGAATTCTATTTCATTACCTATTATTGAGTTGTGATATATTCCTTATTACAGGACGACTCTTATTTGGAAATTGTAATACTCCCCACAGCATGCTTCCCCTCCCATATTGTTTAACTGTTTTGTATTTCGATTTTGCCGTATATATATATATATATATATATATATATATATATATATATATGAAATTGCACAGGTTTATGTGGTAGTCTGGTCTAGCCTCGTCACTACTTCGCCGGGGTTAGGCTAGACACTTACCAGCACATGGGGTCGGTTGTGCTGATGCTACACTCTGTGCATTTTTTTGCACAGGTCCAGGTTTCGAGCAGCAGCAGCAGCATTAGCACGGGAGCAGGCTTTCGGTATCGTGAGACCCGAGGTAGCCTTGCAGGCGTCTGCAGGCCCGACGTCTCTCTCTTATTCTCTCTTTTAAACTGTTGCCTCTTTGTATTCGAGACAAACAGCTTATGTGTTCTTTCAGACCCTTGTATTTAGATATTCTTAGCAGTTCGTGAGTATTGTGACACCAGTCTTGGGTAGAGGCTTACATTGACTACTCCGTGTTTTATTCAGTTTCTATAATTAAGACTTCCGCTATTATTTAATTTCGTTATTTTATATTGTTGCTATAAATTGATAAAAAGGTTTGTTCATTAATGGAAAGGTAATTAAATTGGCTTGCCTAGCTACTACGAGTAGGCGTCATCACGACTACCGAGGGTGGGAAATCCAGGTCGTGACAAGTTGGTATCAGAGCACTAGGTTACATAGGTCTCACAACTCATGGACAAACTTGGTAGAGTCTGAGGGATCGGTACGGAGACGTATGTATTTATCCCCCAGAGGCTACAGAGTTAGGAAAAGTTTCACATTTGTTCTTTCTAGTCGTGCGGTTCTGTTTCTCAATGCTAATAGGATTTCGACTCTATTCTTTCGCAGATGGCGAGAACACGCGCTTCTTCATCTACCGATCAGCAGTCCGAGCCCCAGGCAGCTCCCGCTAGGGGCAGAGGACGAGGCCGTGCTAGAGGCCGAGGTAGGGGCAGAGCTCAGCCCCAAGCAGCAGCACCGGCGGCGGAGCCTCAGGTTGACTTTGAAGAGGAGGTTCCGGCCCCAGCCGCAGCAGTTCTGATGGGCCCAGATCAGGTCCCAGAGGGGTTTATTGCAACCCCAGTTCTTCAGGACGCTTTGGTCCGGTTGGTGGGCCTCATGGAGAGTATCACCCGAGCAGGATTGCTTCCTGTAGCACCAGCCACTTCTCAGGCTGGAGGAGGAGCCCAAACTCCTGCTACACGTACTCCGGAGCAGGTAGCTCCTCAGGGTTAGATTCCAGCTGCTCAGCCAGCTACGGCAGTTCCATCGAGGGTAGTTGCACAGGCAGGCGATGGAGCGGCTATGTCCACAGATGCTTTGTGGAGGCTGGACAGGTTCACCAAGCTCTTCACTGCTACATTCAGCGGCGCTTCTTCTGAGGACCCCCCGGATTTCTTATATAGCTGTCACGAGGTTCCTCGGAACATGGGCATTGTAGAGTCCAATGGAGTTAATTTTGCTGCCTTTCGTCTATCGGGATCCGCCAAGACTTGGTGGAGGGATTTCTGTTTAGCCAGACCAGCAGGGTCGCCGTCTTTGACTTGGGATCAATTTTCAGAGTTATTTCTGGAGAAGTTTCTCCCCGTTACTCAGAGGGATTCTTATCGGAGGTAGTTTGAGTGCCTCCAGCAGGGGTCCAAGATGGTTACTCAGTATGAGACCAGGTTTATCGATCTAGCTCGCCATGCTCTTTTCATACTCCCCACTGAGAGGGAGAGGGTGAGGAGATTTATTGATGGTTTGATCCAGCCTATTCGTCTTCAGATGGCCAGAGAGGCGGGGAGTGATATTACTTTTTAGGAGGCGACCAATGTGGCCCAGAGGATCGATATGGTTTTGCTATAGGGGGTGGTCATAGAGCAGACAAGAGACCCCATCACTCAAGCCGATTCAGTGGTGCCTCATCTGGAGGCAGGGATTCTTATGAGAGGGGTCAGCCTTCCAGGCCTTTCTAGTTAGCCCTCCAGGTTTCTTAGGGTGCCCCAGGTGATCGTGGTTTCTGTGGGCATTATTCGGATCAGCAGTCATTCAGTGCATCGCCAGCTCCAATCAGCGCACCGCCACTTCAGAGTTTCCGTGGAGGCCATTCAGGTCGACAGGAACAGTAGACTCAGCAGCCGACGGCTTCTTACGCTTGTGGTGACACGGGTCATATTGCCAGATTTTGTCCTCGAGCACCGAGCAGTTCTTCGCACCAGGGTTCTCGTGCTATGGTTCAGGCACTAGGTGCTCCACAGCCATCCCAGCCAGCTAGAGGCAAGGGTAGAGGTACTAGAGGT